CCGCCGCTTTGGTACCTCTCGTGGGGGAAGTTGGAGCAGGTGGGGAAGAGCTGATGGGAGAGTTTTCCCATTCCAGCCCAAAAACACGGAGAGATCAGGGAGGAGGTGAGGTGTGTCCCCCCCCGCGGCGCCGTCTCCCTCGTTCACGCACACACAGAGATGTGAAGAGTAGGGGGGGTCACGATTTTTGGGGTGGGGGGGGTCACAGTCAGTGCAGAGCGTTCCCCAGTACCTAAAATACGACCTGGCTTTCCCACTGGAACCTGGATGAGCCCGTTTGGAAGCCACTAATTCATCCCCCCAGCCATCCTCGCCGAATTCCAGCCCATGGTGGGGGGGGGGCATCAGCCTGGCTGACCCCCCCCCGGCCCCCAGAGCCACTACTGTCCCTTCTCCTTCACCCCCATGGGGCAAAGAGCAATTTTCTCGACTTGCTCCTCATCCTCAGTCCCCCAAAAAGGCTGAAGATGCTCCCCCAGGTGTCCTGATTTAGTAGCCAGGCCAAGCGGGGCGTTGAGGGTTGGGAGGGGGGGGGTACCCAAAAGGTGGGGGGGGCCCAGAAGGATAGGGAGGTTGTGGGGGGATTGGGAAACTGGGGAGAGGGGGCTGGGTTGGGTAAGGACACTGCGGTCTCCCCACCCCGGGGGGGAAATAGGGAGGGTACCCGGGTCTGGGGGGTGGAGGAGGAGGAGTAGGGCGAGAGCCAGGAAATTGTGGGGGCTGAGGGGGGGCCCTGGATGGAGACCAGGAATAGCCTGGAGCTGCCCCCCCCGGGGGGGGTTTGGGATACCCTGGGGCTGAGTCTGGTGGGTTTCCAGGACCTGGAGGGTATGGATAGGTGGGTTGGGAGGATGCAACGTGCCCCACGGCGACTGGGGGGGCAGAGAAAGAAGCTGGGGGGAGAGTTCCGTGGGCTGTGGGACCCACAGGCATGGTGGGGGTCGGGCTATAGGGCAAGGGGAAAGAAGGAGCCCCCGAAGGGAAGGGTTGAGGTTTGGGGGGGTCGGCGGGCGCAGGTACGTGAGGAGGTGTGGGCTGCTGAGAGTCCCTGCCGGGCTCCTGCGGCGTTTCCAGCTTCCTCAGGATCTCCTGGAGCTTTTCCACTCTCACCCGGCGCAAATGGGACAATTTCCTCATCCCAGAAAAGCCCTCCAGAAACGTCTCCAAGGGAACTTCACCCTCCAGGAACTTCTCGGCCATTTTCTAGAAGAGAAAATAAACTTCATCCCTCTGCTCTTCTTCCTCAACCCCAGCTTAGGATTTCCGTCTCTCCGAGACGCTCGGGGAACTCTTGAACCACAAACCAAACAACAATCCAATTTTTTTGGAGCAACGACAGCAAATTCCAAAGAGATAATCCTTTATCCTCTTCAATAAAGGATACAGATGAGTCTCAGGAGCGTAACTTCAAATTTTTGAGGACTAATCACTCGAATTGTTAATGGATTTAAACTTTAAACTCACCTCGGACTCCTCTTCGATCTTCTGGCTTTCCACCTGCAGGAGATCCAGCAGGGTCTGAGGCTGCATCGCTGCGGAGAATTTCTCTGGGGAAACAAAGAGAGCAGGGGAGAGAAAGGTTAAAACATAAAAAAGGGCTAAAAAATATTAACACAGAGCCCCGTTGCACTCTCCTGGAGAGACAGAGAACTCATCCCGCCTCGGAAACTCGTGATGCAAAGAGAAAACGTGAAGAAGAAAGAATTTATCCACTGCTGTGCAAGAAGGGTTGTTTTCCAAGGACACCATCCTTGATCTCCTGGCTAAACTTCACCAGAAAACAGGAAAATATGGATTTTACAGGAAACAGAACCCTTTTTTGCCATCATTATAGTGAGTTTCTCTCTGCTCAGAACAGCCAGAAGCGAAAGGGAAGGATGTTACACTGCCTCCAGCCCACGTGACGGCGTCGGAAAAAGGTGCAAGGTTTGCAGAAAGCTCACCCAGTTTGGCTTTTTGCTCTTTGCAGCGCTCAGCCAGCTTCTGCAGCTCCTCGTATTTGCTGGAGAGGTCGGCGCGGCCCGTCTCCAGCGGCCCCTGGAACTTCAGGTTCTGCTCGGCCAAGCTGCGGTTGGAGGCCAGGGCCATCTCCCGCTCCAGCTGCAGCTCCTGGACCTGGGGAAGGAGACAGGATGGTCAGAGAATCATGGAATTGTCTCCAGGTTGGAAGGGAGAGAGTTGGGGGGGTTCAGCCTGGAGAAGAGAAGGCTCCAGGGAGACCTTCCAGCCCCTTCCAGTCCCTCAAGGGGCTCCAGGAGAGATGGGGAGGGACTCTGGATGAGGGAGGGGAGCCCTAGGAGGAAGGGGAAGGGTTGGACACTGAAAGAGGGGAGATGGAGATGAGATGTGGGGAGGAAACTCTTCCCCCTGAGGGTGCTGGGAGGGCTGGAGCCCCTCTGCTGGGAGGGGGGGCTGAGAGTTTTGGGGGGGGTTCAGCCTGGAGAAAAGAAGGCTCCAGGGAGACCTTCCAGCCCCTTCCAGTCCCTCAAGGGGCTCCAGGAAAGCTGAGGAGGGACTCTGGATCAGGGAGGGGAGCCCTAGGACAACGGGGGATGATTTTAAACTGAAAGAGGGGAGATGGAGCTGAGATGTGGGGAAGAACTTGTTTGGTGTGAGGGTGGTGAGAGCCTGGCCCAGGTCGCCCAGAGAAGCTGTGGCTGCCCCATCCCTGGAGGGGTTCAAGGGCAGGTTGGAGGGGGCTTGGAGCAACCTGGTCTGGTGGGAGGTGTCCCCCCATCATGGAACTGGGTCATCTTGAAGGTCCCTTCCAATCCCAAACCCTTCTGTTTCTATGATCCCATGTTGGTCCTACAGATGGAGATGGAGATGAGATCTGGGGAGGAAATTCTTCCCCCTGAGGGTCATTAGAGCCTGGCCCAGGTTGCCCCGAGAAGCTGTGGCTGCCCCATCCCTGGAGGGGTTCAAGGGCAGGTTGGAGGGGGCTTGGAGCAACCTGGGCTGGTGGGAGGTGTCCCTGTCCATCACGGAACTGGATGATCTTTAAGGTTCCAAACCATTCTATGATTCTATGACCTTTCAGATCATCGAGTCCAACCAACAACCCAAAACTGGCAAAGCCACCACTAACCCATGTCCCTCAGCACCACGTCTGCCCAGCTTTTAAGTATCTCCAGGGATGGAGACTTCACCACTTCCTTGGGCAGCCTCTTCCAAAGCTTAATAACCCTTTCAGTGTAGAAATTTTTCCTAATTATAGAATTGTCTGGTTTGGAAGGGACCTTTAAGATCATCTGGTGCAACCATCAACCTAACTCTGATAAAAACCATCACTAAACCATGTCTCTAAGCACTATGTCTGCCCGGCTTTTGAATCCCTCCAGGGATGGGGCCTCAACCCCTTCCCTGGGCAGCCCACTCCAAGGGTTAATAACCCTTTCCATGTAAAAATTTTTCCTAATATCCAATTTGAACCTTCCCTGGTGCAACTTGAGGCTGTTTCCTCATCCTATAGCTTGATACTTGGGATAAAAGACTGACCCCCCCTGGCTACACCCTCCCTTCAGGGAGTTGGAGAGAGCGAGAAGGTCTCCCCTCAGCCTCCTTTTCTCCAGGCTGAGGCCTCCCAGCTCCCTCAGCCGCTCCTCGTTAAGACTAACGAAGCCCAGCCTGGGCCACACCATCCCCACGTACCTCCTGTGATTCCAGCGCGAGGCGTTCGATCTCCTCTGCATTTTCCTGCAGCTCCCGAAGTTCCTCCACCGTCCGGTCCCTCAAGCTGTCCATCCTCCCAGAGAGAGCTCCTGAAGTCAAGGAAAGACGAGTGTTTTTTCTAAAGCCAACTGCAAATAGGTACTAATCCTATTAGGGATTTAAAACCAGCTTTGCTAAACTGCTCCAAAGAGCTGCACCAGAGAGATTCCCCCCGCGATAGAAAGAATCAGCGAGGCCAAAGGCAGAGTGAGAAGGAAAATAGAACATTTCTACTCCTTCCTGTTTGGGAAACTGACTTTTTTTTTCCATTTCAAGGCATATTTGGAAGGATTACTTGGTGCATGAGGAAGAGCGTGAGCAGCAGGTGGAGGGAGGTCATCCTGCCCCTCTGCTCTGCCCTGGGGAGGCCCCAGCTGGAGCACTGGGACCAGTTCTGGGCTCCCCAGTTCCAGAAGGACAGGGAACTGCTGGAGAGGGGACAGCAGAGGCTACAGAGATGATGAGGGGCCTGGAGCATCTCTCTGCTGAGGAAAGGCTGAGGGACTTGGGGCTTTTTAGTCTGGAGAAGAGAAGGCTGAGGGGGGATCTGATCAACACCTATAAATACTGAAAGGGTGGGTGTCAGGAGGATGGGGCCAGGCTTTTTCCAGTGGTGCCCAGGGACAGGACAAGAGGGAACAGGCACAAACTGGACCATAGGAAGTTCCACCTAAACATGAGGAGGAACTTCTTGACTTTGAGGGTGGCAGAGCCCTGGCAGAGGCTGCCCAGAGAGGTGGTGGAGTCTCCTTCTCTGGAGACATTCAAACCCCACCTGGACACGTTCCTGTGGGACCTGCTCTGGGTGGCCCTGCTGTGGCAGGGGGTTGGAGGAGCTGATCTCCAGAGGTTCCTTCCAACCCCTTATCATTCTGGGATTATTTGTGTGTACCAGTTTGGTTGGGGAAACACCTACTCACAGCCACTTGATAGCAGGGTGTTGTCACCCTGACTCTCCCTGCACTGTCCCATTCCAGATTCCCACTCTCCTGAGCAAACCTCCTGGTTCTGCTCACATCTGACTGTCACCAGGGCCACCAGTGGGGCCACCATCGCCACCCATGCCCTCCTGTACCTCCCCACCCCTCCAGTTCCTCAGCTCCTCTCTCATTTGATGCATTTTCTAAGCATTTTCTCTACCAGCCACATGGTGCCATCCCTTCCCTCACTATGTTTTCCCTTAGGAAACATGAAGCGATGGAATTATTCGCATGTCCTGAAGTGGTGGAGTCCCCATCCCTTGAAATATTTAAAAGATGGGTGGACATGGTGCTGAGGGAGACAATTTAGTGGTGGTTTTGACAGTTTTGGGTTGTTGGTTGGACTCAATGACCCAAAAGGTCATCACTGCACTTTAAAAATCAGTCAAATAAGTTTAAAATTGAGGAAATAATGGATTCTCTGCACTACATCCACGACTTATTCCAAATAATCTGGGTTGTCTGACAATATTTAGTTATTATCAGCTGTTCTTGTCACAGGTGGGACGCAGGAAAGTGGGAATACACCAAAAAACCAGCAAGAAACATGAGAGCAGCGTGTTCCTGCACTGGGGAAGGGCCGTACCAAAGAGGTGATGGGGATTTCAGCGGCGTCCTAAATTGCTCCTGGCTCTTCTACCTTCCACCCGGGTGTGACATCCCCACGCTATCACTCTGAGAACGTTTGCATCAGCCTCTGCAAGTAACACAGAAGGACCTGGTGAGGCTGAGGGTTACCAAACCCTCTTCACCCAGCATCCAGCCCAACCCCTCCCAGTAACAACCACCTAAAAACTGGGAAATCAGCCCCTTTACTACGTCTATACGTAGGGAACTTCATCACTCTGAGAGCAGAAATAAAGTTATGGGGTGGTTTTTTTGGTCATTAACGAGGCTCACAGAGTTTAAGTCGGAAAAATTAGGGATAGGGGCAAATGGGAAGCTCAACCTCCTGGCACAGAGGTGAGGGATGGTCTGTGGGAAGGGTCCCAACAGCCCACGGGAGGGGGGACACAAAGAGCTGGGCACTGTCCTGCCACCAGCACAGGGCTGGGGCTCTCGCCTCACGGATCTCACCAGTTTTTAGCGGCGTCCCGGTAAGAGGCAGCCAGGGAGGTGACCCCCGGCCTCCCCGAGGGGCAACGTGAGGGTCCCCCGCAGCACTGTCGCACCCCCGTCATCCCCTCCGTGCTCTGTGACCGGTTAGAGAAACCCTCCCCGCAGCCCCGGGGGTGTCAAAGCCTCCGCCTCCCGCCACCCTGGGGGAGCGGAGCCGCCCGGGGCCACTCTCCTACCGGGACAGGGCCGGGGGCTGCTCCACCAACACCGGGGCCGTCCTGGGAGACGGGGGGGAACGACAACCGGGGGAGGGAACAGTAAAGGGGAGGGGAACGGCAACCGGGAGGGAGCAAGCGGAACTGGGCCTCCCCCGCGGCTCCCGGTACCAGGCCCGGCCGACCCCCCCCCACCTTCCTCCCGGAGGTCCCGGCAAGTAACGGCTGCAATCGCCCACCGGAGCGGCCATGAACACAGGGGGAAACGCCCGAACGAGCCGGGCCCACCTTCCCTTTGCAAGACACCGGGTAAAGCCCCGTTACCGGCTCCGCCGCGCCCGCCCGGGACTCACCGTCGCGCAACCGGGGCCCTCCCTTCGCCGCGTACTTCCGGCTTCCGGCGCGGGAGAGGAAGTGGGATGTACCACCCCGAGGGCAGGGCGGGGGGGGAGGGAGCGGCTCCCCTCCCCGGCGGGGGGGAGGAGGCGGGTGGTACAGCCCGCCGCCGCCATCTTGTGGGGGTGAGGCGGGCGCTGCGGCCTGGGGCTCAGGGCTGCGGTGCCCGTGGAGATCCGCGGTATTTCATAAATATTATAAATATCGTGCCCTTTTTAAAAAATAAATAAAGTGTCTTTATCAGCCAGTGTGGTTTCCTCGAGCTGTGGCCCGCTCGAGCCTTTACATCCTACCGGTTTGTGTCATGCAGGGCCTGCCCTGACGATGTGGTACCATCCCCAGCACCTTCCCCCTGCTGCCTACCTTTTTTAATTTAATTTAGTTTAATTTTGTGCTTTCCTGGTATTTTACGTCAGCCTGCTAAGTTATTTGGTGTTATCAATACGTCTCGACTCCTTAATGCAAATAGCTGGGTACGGCCTGAGCTTGAGCACTGCAAGTAGCAGGTTTGCCAGCTTCTCTGGATAGAATATCTTTTATAATGTTATTAGGCCTTATGTTGGAAGGCCTTACGTTTATCCTCACAAAAAATGAGGCTTCCATCCTTAAATTTATCAAGCATGCTAATGAAAAGAACTCCTAATCAAGGGAGGTGTGTATTGTATGGCTCTCAAGGAAGCCCATTGAGCATAAAAACCCTGAGGACGGTACTGATCTATGTGTTTTGAGAAGATTAGCCAATTTGGCTAAAGGAAAGTGAAAATTCTCAGTGTCCTAAGCTCAACTACTTTAATTATAATACTAAAAAACGCCCACAGGCCAAGAAGACCCTTGCCCAGGTGAAGACCCTTCCCTTGGGCGTGTGTGGTAGCTATAACTTGAGGGTGTAATGGTATGTAAATTACTAACCCATCAAATATAGGTAGGAGGTACTAATACTAACATATAATATATAATATAAATTCTATACATCGATGCGAAATCTCCCCGTGAGCTGCTGCTTGGACACTTTTGCCTTCGCCGGCCTGTTCCTGAAAGCGGTGGGGCCGTAGAGCCCCAGACAAAAGATGGGGCGAGATGAATCCTTGCGACAGAGAATTAAAGAGGAGGGTGTTACAGCAAAGCTCACCCTCACGCCGTGGAGCAGGCAGCTGGTTGAAATTCAGGCATAGCAGGTTTGGGTTGGCTTCGCGGAGAGATTTGAGGCGGTTTCTGCCTCCTCACGACCTCGCCGGGGCCTCCCACGCCGGCAGCCTCCTCCCGCTGTCTCAGTTTCGTGGAGGTCTAAGAGTGAGGAGGGACGTTGTTCTCCACAGACCATTGATGCTGGGAGGGCTGGAGCCCCTCTGCTGGGAGGACAGGCTGAGAGAGTTGGGGGGTTCAGCCTGGAGAAGAGAAGGCTCCGGGGAGACCTTCCAGCCTCTCAAGGGGCTCCAGGAAAGCTGGGGAGGGACTCTGGATCAGGGAGGGGAGCCCTAGGAGGAGGGGGAAGGGTTTGACACTGAAAGAGGGGAGATGGAGCTGAGATGTGGGGAAGAACTTCTTGGCTGTGAGGGTGGTGAGAGCCTGGCCCAGGTTGCCCAGAGAAGCTGTGGCTGCCCCATCCCTGGAAGGGTTCAAGGCCAGGTTGGAGGGGGCTTGGAGCAACCTGGTCTGGTGGGAGGTGTCCCCCCATTGTGGAACTGGGTCATCTTTAAGGTCCCTTCCAACCCCAAACCCTTCTGTTTCTATGATCCCATGCTGGTCCTACAGGCACTCCAAATGCCTGTTGTTTGGTGTGACTTGGAATTCTCTTGGCCGTCATCTGGGTACGTCCAGCCCTGCGAGAAATGAAAATGAAATTAAAACTTCAGAGATGGGTAAAGGGATGGAGGGAACGTGAGGTGAGTGGCAGCAAAGCTGCAGCAGAGGTGGAGACGGGGGTAAGGGCTGGTGGAAGGGCAAGAGAAGAGAGGATGGAGAAGCAGAGGAGGTGAGATAATGGATATGGAGCACTGAGACAGAACATACAAACCTCAGCAACGTGCCAAAAATTCACATTATAGCCTTTTTTTTTGGTGGCGTAGCTGGAACCAGGAGAGAAAAGCAAATCCCTGCTGAAGACCTGCATCAGGTCTTCCTTGTGTGGAGAGAGAGGAGGAGGAGGAGAGAAAGGAAGCAGGAGACAGAGGAACCTCTGACATCCCATGATCCTCAACGCCAAGCCAGCCTTCACTTTTCCACCCCTAATTCCATATCCAGCAGACATGAGTGGGGATAAAGATGGGGAAGATGGACTTCACAGGACTAGTTTGAGGCACCGTTTTCGTGGACGCGGAAGGGCTGGAGCCCTTACAATCGTTAAATTTAGTTCACAATTTATATTAAAACATAAGGACTGAGCGGAGGATGAACTAAGTTGGGTTCAAAGTTGTTGTTTGCAATGAAGCAAGGAAAAAGTATCCAGTTTAAATAGTAAAGTGTTACCCAGCGATCAAAAATCGTGACAAATCACTATTTTTCTGGTTAATGCTGAAGGATGTGCCCAAATTATTTACTTAATTTGTGTAAGGGGTGGTTTCAGCTGGTCCTCATGATACATCACAGTTGCTTTAGCAGGTGAAAGACTCAGAGGCCGATACCCAGCACACGCGGTGAGCCAAAAATGACTGAAAACAGTTAAAAATTCAAAATTTCACCAAGTAGCACAGGGCAGCTGAGGTCAGTTTGAGGTCTCGCTCCCCCGAGGAAGTGAAACCGTGATTTCAGAAGTGTTTTGGAGTGAAATGGAAACTTTGCAGGACCTCGTTAGCGCAGCTGATGTTGTTTGGAGCTCCCGAGTGGAGGGGGGGGCAGGGTGAGAGCAGGGGGGGCAAATTAACACGCAATTAGCCAAAGGTTAAAAAACAACCCCACACCACCCCTCGCGTGCGAAGGGCTTGATCTCATCCTTTGTGGGATTTCACCTTTTCCTGATGATTGGGGCCAAGCTCAGTTGTGGTTTTGATTGAATGTTCCTTCTGAGCCCAGGAGTCGAGTGAAATTTGGAGCCCTTCCCAATTAAAGGTGGGGGGAAAAAAAAAAAAACAAACAAATAAAATCGATAGCGTTGTTCTTTCTTCTTTTAACCTGTTTGTTTTCAAGAGGATGTTGCCTGTGTTCCTCACCAGGGAGGGGATTCACACGATGGAAGAGCCCTTTTTGGGATTCCACCCTTCTTTTTCACGAGGAGTTGATCAGAAAGCCCCGATTCTCTCTTCTCAGCACCACGTCCCGGCCGTCTGTCTGTCTGTCTGCTTGCGAAAGCCGCGGTCTAACCAGTTCCTTCACCCTTGGAGGACTAGGAAGCTTCGTGGTCCCCGTGGTCCAGCCGCTATCTCGGCAATCTGGTCAGAGAATCTTAACGTTTCACCCATTTAACAAACCACAGACCGAGGTCACCCAAGGTGTTTGTCACCCTCCGGCGTCACCCGCAGCAGGCAGAGCGGTGGCCTGGCCGCCCACAGGGTCCCACCCCACTGAAGTCCACCCACCACCAGCTCGGCAAGAACCCCTGGGGGCTTCCTGGGTGAATGAATCGACTATTTTTTACCTTAATCAGAGGAATTTGACACCTGAGGAGCCTCAAACCAGCCCTTGTGCCTTTCATCTGGCAGCTCCGATAAAGCACTTCTGTGATGTGTGATAACACCCTGAGGGGAAGAACAGGAAAAACCAGGAACAAGGGACTGGAAAACAAGTTCATTTCCTTCATTTGCACTTAACCAAGATAAACTATATCTCGAAAAGGTGATTTTTTTTCCATTTTCCAGGCAGAGTTTTTCATGCCTGAGCGGGGAAGTTGGATAAAGCCGTCCCTGAGCTTAGTCAGCAAAGTCTGGAAATCCACGGCAGCGGCATTCCCTAATCTTGTGCGTCTCCCACGAGAGACTTTCAGGCACCTGGCCGTGGGGATTGATGGCATAATTCACAACGGACCTTGCATTCCTGACAGGAATTTGCCGCTCGAGGGCCCATCTTGGAGCCAAAGCAGCTTTTGGAGGTGCCCGGCTCCTCTTGTTGGTGCCATAAATTGCTGGTGGAACCTTAGGAATTACATCCACCGCGTCTTGTGTAACCTTTTTAAGGACAATCTCTTCACCCACCAATTGCTGCCGATCGCTGGAAGCGTGAAACAGTCCTGTCACCACTCCTGTGCCACCACATCCCCTCTCAGCGGGGGGATGTTGTAGTCACCACCCAACTTTTCCACCTTTGAGGTCAACCACCACCACTCCAGCAACCAGCTGGTGTCCCCCCAGCCCATCTGTGGTCACCGGGGGGGTTTATTTTAGTCCTTTTTATGAGGGATTTAATTCTGTGGAGCCCAAGCTCCTTGTGAGCTCCTCCACACGCAGGGAATCAAACCCAGCCTCTCTCAGACATCAAAAACCTTACATTTTTCTGGACACAAACCTAAATCTCGGAGGATTTTATCCAACAGGAATCTGAACCCGGCCACAGCTGCATCGGGAACAAGGAAAACAGAAGGAAAAGCCTCTGGATCCATCCCTCCAGCTGGGCTTTGAGGATCTCCTCATGGTTTGGTGCCCTCTGCCGCCAAGCTGAGCTACAACAGAACGGCCACCCAAAATTTGGCCACCCAAACTGGGCGCCCAGTGGCCCCCCCAGCCCTGCCTGCCCCCTGTCCTCCCCTCTTCCACAGCGGGGACAAGGCAGAGTTGTGTTTTGAGCCATTCGCAGCTTGGTTTTGGGGTTTCCTCAGGGTTTCCTTGCTCCCTTTGGGGGCCAAAGGGTAGATTTTTTCCAGAATCCAGCATGTCTCGTTCCTTCCGTTTCTCTCCCAAGGTTGGAAATGTCCCGTTGGCCCGATCCTGGCTCCTTTTTGTGCTGCACCCCCCCCCTTCCATGGCACCACAAGCCTGTCCCTGGAGCCATCCCCATCTTTGACAACACCATGAACCCACCAGGCACTTTGTGCTGCTGATTTCCCCCTTGAAGAACCCACACCAATTTATTTAGACAAAGTTTGGACAATTATTCTCTCACCTGATGAGTTCTCCCCACCTGGGATGGGGAATCAGGAAAAAACAGAAGAACCTTAGGGTTGAAATGTAAACAGATTTAGTAGAATGAGACTAAATAATTAACATAAATAGCACTAAAGAGCCAATATTGATCCTGATATTGATATAAAATACACCAGGACTATTCCCAGCTCGTTCCATCCCAGGAATCTGGTCCCTCCCAGCAGGGACAGCCCATGTGGGACCCTGTGAGTGCTGTGGCTTTGGGAGGAAGGGAAGAGCTCAGGGCTCCAGCACTGGAGCAAAGACTTCTCAGGATCCCAGCCATCAACGGGAAGAGAGAAGACTCCTCAGCAAACTTCCTAATTTACATTTAATTTATCATTCATGGTATGAAATAACCCCGTTGGCAGCTTGGCTCAAGTGCCCGGGTCTCGTTCCTCCTCGTCCCCACACCTCGAAATCACCAAGACTTTGAAACCCCCTCCCCAGAGCTGGCTGCAAAGGAAATATTTTCACCCATTCAGACACTGGAATCGTCTAAAAATGCAGTTTTCCCAGGCATTAGAAGAGACTTGACTGAAAATTAAAGTTACTGAAGGAGAAATGAATCCTGTGTCGCTCAAACAAGGATGACGGGTCACACCACGTCTACCTCCAGACTCCAAGGGGCTGAGCTTCCCCAGAGGGCTCTGAAAACCCTCGTTAATTAAGAATAAAGGGTGCCTGGGGTGGAAAGGGCTTGGGAAAAAGGGTGCAGCCACGGAGTCACCCTGTCACCGGGATGGGGAAGCTCAGTGCAGCAGGAGAGGGCTGAAATCCAGCCAGCCACCTTGGAAGGGAGAGGACCCTCATCTCCAGAGCCACCAGCATGAGCCACCACCACTTCCAGCCCAAAAAAAGACCAAGCTCATGTGTTTTTCCAGCAAAATCCCTCCCCTGGATTCCATCCTTCCACAGATGGAAGGGAACGGCGATGCCAAGTCCCTGTTGAGAGCCGTAGCCCTACGGGAAAGTCATTTCACACCCCAAAAGTGATTATTTTCCATCCTCTGCCCTTTCTTTTGTTCTTTGATTTGGTCTGAGGTTTTTCTGGGGCCGAATTCCACAACTTCTTCACGCTGTGGGGAATGACGCATCCGAAAAATCGGTGCCTGTCTGAACACACAGAGTTTTTCAGTGGCTCTTAGCGATGGGGTCTATTGACAGAAGAATGTGCTCAGCCCAGAACTGCTCATAGTTTGACAAATTACTTCTTTCCATTGAAAAAAAAATAGTGAAATCCCGATCCTTAGTCGTTACAGCTTTGCACGTGGAGCCCTCTTTCAGCAGAAATTGCGTGCAGGAAGGGGGCTGCAGCAGAAGAGTGAAAAATTGCTTTGTGTCTTCATGAGGTGAACACAGTTCCCAAATTTGGGATGAAGTTTGGGTGTTCAGAAGAGCCCAAACCTGAAATGTTACTGCTCTTCAGCTCTCCCTTTCTCAGGTGTCTTCTGCTCGTTACCAAAATCAATGCGGGATGAGCATCAATTTTGGAGGCCACCTTGGAGGCCCCTCAGTTCTTCATCACCCCACCCTGAGCAGAGGTGTTCTGGTCCACCGGTGTCCCAGGAAATGCCTTTCCCACAATTTGGGGAAAGAAAGTCCACTGGGACCTCCATCCCTACCCCAGGAGAGGGAACAATCTGCTCAAGGAGTGTTCCAGCAAACGCCATTCCCATAAATTGAGGAGAGAAAGTCCACCCTGGCATCACCAGGACCTTCATTCCTGTCCCAGGTGAGGGAACAGTCTGCTCAAGGAGCATCCCAGATCACAACTTTCCCACAAATAGAGGAATGAAAGTCCACCCTAGTACCACCAGAGCCTCCATCTCTGCACCAGGAGAGGGGACACCTACCACCCTGCTCCCCCACCACATTGCTCCTCACCCACACCCACCAGTTACCTTCTCCTGGACCAAGGACTACTTCCACCTCTCAGCAGGACCTTCCTCTCCACGCAGAAGCCACACCGACATGTACCCACAGCTAGTGACCCTATGGAGCTCTGGCCACCACCTCCTGCAGCCCACACCAGCTCCTGTGGACCTCCTACGACGTTATCTTGCCCCAGCATGGAATGGGTGCTCATCCCAGTAGATCCCAAGCAGTCTCCTGGAGGAATCCCTGAGCTTCAGCCCTTAGAGGTTGAACAGGTGGGAGCTTTGATATCTCTCCAGACCACCCCACCATGAACACGGCCATCAACAGGCTGGTCTTCCACCAGCCCCGAGGTGCAGGGAAGCTCACAAAGGGCTCCCAGCACAAGACAAACAAGAACCAGACAAACCAGCAACCTCCAGTTTGGAATGACCCTTAAATACCAACAGGATTTGCAGCAGCTGACCCTCATTTCTGCAGCTGTCCAGGAGAAAATCACCCAGAGCCCCCCTTGCCAGGTGTCCCCCCAGGAGCAGTGAACCCCCCCACCCCAAGGAAGAAGCTTTGCCCTCCCTGGGTCTCACTCCTTCTCCCTCATCCTTCCTTTTTTTTTTTGCTGAGGTTTTTCCTCCTTTTCCCCCCAACATCACCCATCAGACCCTTTCATCCCCCCAGTGCAATTCAGCATCTCTCCTCAATTCTTTTATTTATTATTCTGGGGTGAAACTGGGAGAGAGGGAGGAAAACCAGTCGGGTGGGCTGGTCCCCAGTTTGTTGGCGCTGAGTCTGGTTTTGTTTTCCCTCCCGGTGTGGGACAAGGTGACCGTGGCAGTAGCCACATCTCAGCCACGTGGTGCCGTGACGGTGGCTGTGACGCCTGGTCCCAGCGCCGGGCGCCTCCGACACAACCCAACGTGGGCGACCTTGGCCTCCTTCAACCATCCTGAGCTGCTCTTTCCTCCCAACTGGTCCCATTTCCGCGGGCAGCCCTGGGGCAGGTGAAGGTGGATGAAGTCCACCATCAGAAGGAATCTGAAGTCTCCTGAGTCTGAAGGAGTCGGAAGTCCACCATCAGAAGGACATGGAGCTGTAGGAGCAGGGCATGAGGGGGCCACCAAGATGCTCCAGAAGAAGGCTGAGAGAGTTGATGGGGTTCAGCCTGGAGAAGAGAAGGCTCCGGGGAGACCTTCCAGCCCCTTCCAGTCCCTCCAGGGCCTCCAGAAGAGATGGGGAAGGACTCTGGATCAGGGAGGGGAGCCCTAGGAGGAGGGGGAAGGGTTTGACACTGAAAGAGGGGAGATGGAGCTGAGCTGTGGGGAAGAACTTCTTTGGTGTGAGGGTGGTGAGAGCCTGGCCCAGGTTGCCCCGAGAAGCTGTGGCTGCCCCATCCCTGGAGGGGTTCAAGGTTGGGTTGGAGGGGGCTTGGAGCAACCTGTTGTGGTGGGAGGTGTCCCCCCATCATGGAACTTGGTGATCTTGAAGGTCCCTTCCCAGCAAAACCAGTCTATGATTCTAAGCTGACCCCAGAGGCAGGGGGGGCAGATGGGGGGCTCAGCTCAGCCGCGGTGGAGGACATGGGGCTTCCACCCTCCCCACCCAGAGCCCTGGGACGGGCAGACGGAGACGGGCTGTGTTGAACTAAGAGGAACCACCATCTCTAATGGGTAAAACTGGTGAAGAACCTTGTCCTCCTATTGGCTGTGGGTGCAAGATAAAGCAACATCACCCAAGGCAGCCCCGGGGGGCTCAGGGCAGTGGCCAGGGGCCACCAACTTTGTCCCCAACTCCCCCAAGGGACATGTAACCTTGGGTGGGAGCTGTGGGAAGGACATGAGGCTTCAACCCCCAGGATCAGACCAGCCAGCAAAGTGGGGACCAGGAGACCCCAAAGTGCTGGTGGGGGACACCAGGGGACCTTAAAGGGCTAGGGGAGGACACCAGGGAACCCCAAAGGACCGGTAGTCGTGTGCTAGCCCCACATCTTCACCCTGACAGCTCTTCACAGTGGGGCAGGGCTGGTCTGGAGCAGCCTCAGGACCCTTCGTACCCCAGTTACCCCCGTCCCCTCCTGACCCCCCAGCGAGGTAAAGGCAACTGGGAAATAAGTTGGGTGTTTATCTAACGGCACGTGATTCACATCGTGGTTCCTCGTTTCCACCACCGCGTTTCCACCTTGCGTAATTCCCCTGGTGGTCAAAGAAGGGGGTGGAACATGCCCAGAAATGACCACAGCCAGCCCCGTGACC